TAAGTTGTTCCACAAGGCATAGGCGCAACACACGAAGCATGACCCCTAAGATATCCTAAGATCTTTCAACACCGATTTTGGGTCTGCCCCACCCTTTCCCAACTCTCAAGAGCTGCCGTTTTTTGCAGCGCTATTCTGGTGGTTGTCAGCGTTCGAGTGTCACCAGGCTTGCACTCACAGCTCCATTCGAGAACCACCTTTGGTTGGACATTGTAACAATAGTGGCTGGAAACATACAAGCCCTGCAAACTACATCACATACATTGAGGCACAGTCTTCTAAGGGGCCTTCACAAAATTCTAAGGCGATCTCAAGGGCGCCCTGAAGCAAACAACTGCATTTTTTTTGAAGATTACTTATCAAGAAGCGCCCAAACCATTTCGCAGCAGCTCATGCGGATGCGGGTGTCAAGTGTGCTCGCACTGGAACCTGGCCGAACGCAGGTCCCACATGGCTCAAAGATGCTCAAAGGTTGTGATATGTTGTGATGATATAGGGGTTGCAAGATTCCCATGAAACATGTCAGAGAAACTCAACCCTCCAACGCATCATCAATTTCACGAGGTTCTTCCTCTTCCCCTTCAAAGGGTTCATCGGCTTCCATCTCAGCCCCTTCATCGGCATCCAGAGCATCATCCTTCTTGAGCTTGGCCACAGCCGCGGCCACCATGGTGTCCTTTGAGAATCGAGAAAGAACAAACACACAATCAATTGAAAACGATTGCGGTGAGACTTGCACCTCATGTTCCCTTGATGCAAATCTAGCTAAGACACCATGAGTGTAGATCCAGCTTGAACATCGCCCTTTGTTCGAATCAGCTCATCTCGCACAGCCACCTTGGCTGCCAAAACTAGTTTAAAAAATCTTCACATAAAGACACTGTATATGATACATTCACAGCACATCTTGGAGCAACTAAGTAGCTGCAATGTCGTGCAATGCTTCCGCAGTGAGGCCCTCTACCGGCTTCAACTTAGAAGAATGACATATCAACACATGTCTAGAGAAAACTACAGAAAAAAACTGCATGTTGCTGTTGAAAGCTCTAGAGAACACATGTCACTGATAGAGTGCAGCATCAAAGTGACTCGTAGTTTCTCTGAGCCGTTGATCTTGAAGCCATACATGCCGTTTTTTGTATAAGCCCTTCGACACAAGCACCTTCTCAGGCGCAGATTCCTTGGAGGATGCCTTGGCCTTTGAAGCAGCGGCAGGCCGCTTCAGAACACTTTTCACCACTTGTTTAGACTCACCAGTGGTTTGCAACGACGGTTTCTTCATCAGATCTGCTTTTGGTGCAGCATCTTTCTTTGGTGCAGTCTTTGGTTTATTCTTAGCCTTCGGTGCAGCTTTGGTCACAGGAGTCACAGGAGCCGCCTGAGGTTTGGCATCCTCATCACTTAGGGTCTCGACGGCATCCAAAGCCATCGCACACAATCCTAGATATCCGATCATGACATGAGTTGATCTGAATCTATGGCACACAAATCAAACACATGTAAACAAATTCACCTTCAAGCAGGTCTTGCCCTTCCGCTGCAAGTGTGGAGTCTCAGAGCAAAGCTTGGGTTCATTTGGGCTCCACAGCAAATCCAGTGCTCACAAGAGCGCGCTACCCACAAGCTCAGGGTCATCCCAAGCCTTCTCAAAAGTATGTGATTCTCTGACAGGCATGGGTGTCTCGACTAAACAAAGTGGCAAGGTTTATCGAGAGTGGACTATGTATAAAGGGTGGATCATGGAGTCTTATCACCCAGCCATCCCTACAATCACATTCAACCCCCCGGCAGACTTGAAGCATGTCACTTCAGTCTGACTGCGCACCCATCTTTGAGGCTGACAGTGCCCAATACATAGAACTTTGGTTTGATTGGCTTCAGTACAGCGGGCACTGATGAATCCACCTTCACCTGGGTAGCAGTGGTTTGAGGGGTAGACATGAAGATCATGAAGATTGTGAGATTCCTGATTATGTTATCCAACCATGGCCTCCCAGACCACATCACACAGCTGGCATCTTGGAAGTTGTGAATATTTGGCATGGAAAACAGCACCAAATTGCACCGATCGTATGTGCTGCTTGTCAGTGTCGGCGGCAAGCTCCTTCGGCTTATACACATTGACCATGGTCATAGCCGAGATGTCATACCGATAGGCCAACGGCCGATCACCAGTTCCCGCCTGCCAACTCACCAAGATCCCACAGTCAGGATGGCTACATCAACAGCTATGTCACCAGCGTTAGCACTTGGGCGAAAGGATGGAGAGAGAGAATGAGTGAGAGAGGGAGTGGATGGCTAGCTGGCTGGATGCAGGGTAGGACAAACAAGCACCTCCACACAGATTGACAGGTGGAAGACAGACAGTGAAATTGATGACTGGCTAAACAAATGGATGGACGGATGGATAGACAAATGGATAAATCCAATAGTGACAATAGTGAATAGGTTTGGGTGGACCGGTTGGATGATGGACAGATAGGTTCAGGGATGGATGGGTAGATCGATGGGCGGATGCGGGCGGATGGCAGGATGGTTGGCTGACCAACGATTGGATGGAGTGGCATGGATGGAAAATACACCGATTTTTTTTATAGGCGGTTGGTAGATACACAGCTTTATTTGGAAACTGGCTTAACACACAAGCACTCAATGCAAACAGTATGACTCAACAAAAAAATAGCCTTAGGCTGGACAGTATGATCCACAATGCGGATCTCAGTGACACCCTGATGCTTTGCCACATCACACATGATGTCAGCGACAGATTTGATCTCTTTGCTGTCTGCCATTGCTACCAAGGTGTTGTCCTGGCTCAGGACCCATCCAAGGTGCACATCCGATGGGTGTGCGTTGCCTGCAAAATAAACGGATGACATCAGGTGTTGTTTCATTGAAGCCTTTCTTTTTCTATTGTAATGTTTCGATTGTTTGAAGCCTTGTTGGATTCTGTTGAAGTCACTGGCCTAGCGGTACTTCTAGGAAACTGCCAATGTTGAAGCCGAACAATTCACCTGCTGGTATCTCCGCGACAGATCCATTCCCGCTTTTGTTGAGAAGCCAAAGGTGGTTGTCGCTGGTGAGGCACACTTTCACCCCTGCAACTCGAGGTAGATCTGCGATGTATTCTGGCCTTAGTGTAGTAGGTATGATGGCCCCAACAGTTCAAGTAGTACTAGATACTAGCTTGAGTTGGGAAGCTACTGCGCAAAAATTGCTGAAACCCTCAACCCATCCTTCCCCCCGGCCCAAAACGGGTACCAATACCATCAAAGCTGCACATTTGCAGATTCGAACTGGCTCATGGAAATCTCCTCCAAGTTGAGCCTCTTGCGGACATTGATGGGTGAATCACCTTGCCACTCTGGCGATGCCAGGGTTCTGGTTGGCACCGTGGCCGTGCTCACGCTTGGAGTGGCATTGCCCCGCTGCTGGGCTGCATGGAAAGTCCTCAAGGCTCCGGATATTTCAGTGTCCTCAGCAAGCTTGGCGGTGAAGTCCTTCAAACCTGGTTGTTGCGAGTACTTCTGCTGCAGCAAGTCCGGAATCCTTGGGATTCCAATCAGAAACACACACACACATAAAGCAAACATAAAATATTTCCCTTTTTGTTCTATTCACGATTACCCATTGAAATCAAGCAATCATGCATGACACTGCAATCAAAAAAACTTGATTTCCCCATCTTCGTTGATCACCAAGCTCTGCAAAGTTGGCAAGCTCTCAGAAAAGCTAGAAGCTTCACGAGTTTTGGAGCCTGCTTTCTCACATCCATCCCAGTAGTCAGAGATCAGCCGACCCATCAAAACTGCCCTGGCACTGGTCAGCTCCTCCGCGTTGTCCGAGTGGTATACCCCCCAAGAAGCGCACATCCAACTCTCGATTTGCTTCCTGAAGGAAAGCTGCCTGGATGCTCCAGCTTGCCAAGGACCATTCAGCAAACCTGGGCAGGTGAAGGGATCAAGGGTGGAAAGAGTTTTGGCCTCCCCATTCTCAATCTGGGCATTAGTTCAGGGATTATCATATATCATGAGCACTAGACCCTAGCCTGGAGGGCAAGAGGTCCACCACCAGAAGTGGCTTTTGCGAGTTGCTTGAAACACCTGCAACGATGTTCTTGATGATGCATGCAGTGGCATGGATGCCTCTCTGTTGTACCTCAAGGCACGCGATGCAACGCTGAACCCAAAAATGTATTCAATATGTTTGATACTGTTGATCTGAACACTTCCTAAAAGATTGAAATGTTTCAAGAAACAGTAGGAGATTTGAATCGAGGAGCCCTCCAATGTGGCGCTAAAGACCTTTCTGGGTCCGGGTTCTGAAGCTCAGAGAGACTCTGCTTCTCTCCACATCGCAGATCGACCCGAGCAGGGCCTTCGACTTCGAGAAAGCCGCGTTGTTCCAGGTTGAGGCAGAGATGGCAGCCATACCTGGGGAGCGACAGGGGACAGGGGATGTGGGCTTCGAGGGGCTGAGTATCAATACAATGACCGCCATGCGCATGAAAGATGCACTGTTGTGACGTCTTTCGCCGGTCACCCCCCGTGTGTGGAATCAGCATAGTTGATCGACACCTCGAAGATGTCCATGGCCCTGGAAGACAATCGAGTGAAGGTAGTTGGATAATAGATGATAATAGATAATAGATAATAGTGGTCATGCAACGCAAAATTCGATAATAGATGATATTTGTCTTTCATGTTACTTGCAGACAGCGCACTGCCCCACTTTATCTTCCAAAAGCCGTCTGTTCTTCAATACCGATTCTCGCTTTGTGGAAGAATGACATTGCGGCATGCAAAAGAAGGCAACTGTGTTGGCATTGCCAGAGCTCACCGATGAACAGATTTGAATGGCTTCATCAATTGAAAGCTGGCCTGGGAGGCACAAGAAAATCAAACCCCATCAGAACCCACGAGAACCCATGAGAACCCATAGACTGCAAGGGGCGTGTTGGCCACAGAGTTGCATCCACCACCAAGATTGTGAGCCTAAGTCAAAACGTTTTATTGTTACTTTTGCCCATTTAGTCTTCGTAATGACGCAGTTAGTTTCAAGCAAGAAACCCATCAGGCCCCATCTCTGCTTGGCTTGACACAATGGCGCTGTGCGCCAACACCAGTGAAGAGAAATGGACCAGTTTGTGCTTCCGTTCTAGAAAGTCCTCTGACCAATCCTTGCCTCTCTGAAAGCGGTCGTTGATGTGCTTGAAGTCCATGGCTCCCTGGATCATGTATTATACAATGACTCCATGTATTATACAATGATTTGATTTAAGACCACTGTATCCATACAATGATTTCTTGCTGAAAGACTTCAAGTACCATTGTATCCATTGTGTTTAAAGAAAGGGCCTGCTGCTCAGCGTAAGTTTGGAACTTCCTTGACCACAGCTTGACCTTATCCATGTCCTCCTCCAGTTGAAGCTGAGTTTGCTGCCACGTAGTTGTCAACAACTGCGCACTCAGCCTGAAAAGAAAATATCACAACATTAGGTTCACTATGGTTCAGCGTGTTCTTTGAACATTTCTGCCAGGAGACTCAGCGGCTTTGTCACGGTTGTCCTTCTCCACCTGCTCAGATCTCAGTCACACGCCCATCACTATATACATTGAACCCTGGCCTGGGCATAGTACCGCTGAATGTGCGCCGAGAAGATACTTACCTTCCCCAAATCTACTGGAGGAACAGATGTCTCCAGCAACTGCATGATGTCGGAATCACCATGACGCAACTCAAACCTCAAAACAGGTGCACCCTACTGTACTATGAATGATTGTAACATACATTGACCAGATTGCGTTGAATGGTTGCATTGAATTGCAGTGTGAGTTAGATATGGCTAAGTATATGGCGTTTTGTGGATGTCTGTCAGGCAATGGTCTGCAAAGGACCCAGGGATCATGGTCTTGAACTGGTCCAAGCAAGCAAGGAACCCTCCACAGATTCGTTGTAGCTGTTCCTTAGTTGTTGGAGATCAGGAGTTGGAAACATTCCATGTTGACACAGTGTTTGACAAGTGAAGCAGTTGGCAATCTACTGATTGGAACAAAGCTGCCTAGAGTCCACATCTTTTGCGTTCCAAGGCTTTCGGTGCTTGGGCGCAAGTGCCAGCCAGTCTTTCTCCAAGCGCACCACCAAGACCCGAAGCAATGCTGTTGAATTTGTGAGTTGACTCTTCCAGGGGACTAAGATGCCCGAGGCAGAAGAAAAGCCACCATTGAAGAAGTTCCCACTCAAAGAGTCATGGGTTATGAAGCGCGGCTGGGTGTATTTCCTGGATTGACTTCCATGGGTTGACTTTGAGTGTGCTTTAAAGGTAACTTTGAGTGTCCTTTAGTGTGATTTGACCTGAGCATCATTCAAAGAACACTGCGACAAGACACTGGACAAGAAGCGTCAATACATCCTTTATCTCCGAGGGTATCCGCTGAAGGAGGTTGACCGCAGCGCCACATTCTTGTTTCCCCAAAGCATACGCTTGGGCAAAGCTAGCGATGCCATCACTTGCCTC